GGTTGACTGAAATGGAGATTAATGGTGATGAGGGTAACCTCAGCAGACTGCCTTTTACCATGTACCTAATGCCATGACAGACTTTAAAGCTCCCGAGCCATTCATTAGTGTATGAACACTGCTCAAGTAGTGCTGTGTACAATCACTGAGCAAACTAGTTCCACCTTTATTGCACATTTTTGCTCAGACCGCCTGCCCCATCAGTTATTCCAATTTTTTTATCTGAATAAACCCCAATCAGATAACAGGCATTTTTGGATAACAGGCGTTCGTAAAGCATGTGGTTGAGACACACACACATACACAAATTATATAATATATATTATATACATATATAATGTGTGTGTGTGTGTGTGTATGTATCGATATATACATAGTATATCGATACAATATACTGTATATTTAAACTGTAAACCAAAGCTTGTTTGCATGTGCTTTTTATTTACTAAGTTACTTAAAATTAAAATACATTACAAAGGAGTATTGAATCAGACAGACTACAGTAACTTGGCACTGAACATGCAAGACGTAAATAAAATTCAAAATAATAATGGGACAACCCACTCCTGGCAAAATATGGCTGGCTACATAAATAGCTACAAATTATCAAATACTTTCAGTACTACTAATAAATATAATATGCAATATTTTCCTAACAATCAGGATATTATTTAGCACCAATTATTTTGCATGTCATACTGCTTTTAAATGAGGAACAGCAAAAATATTAAATCTTTACAAATAAATTTTATCTACAAATTAAAATCTTTAATGAAGGCATACATATTAAGGGAAATGTTTGAACATTATTTACTACAATAAAACACTATTACAAATAATGAAAATATTTCAGGTACTAGTTTGATGAGTCATCATGTGACTTTTCAAGTTCCCCTTCTGAGAACAGCGGTATGGACATAAATTACATCCATAGGGTTTCTCTCCGGTATGGGTGTAAACATGTTCCTTCATCCTTTCCTTCTGAGAAGCACGATAGTTGCAATATGGACAAGAATATGGCTTCTCTCCAGTATGAATTAAAACATGTCTTTTCAAATTTTCTTTAGTTGTTGCACGATACGAACAATGCGGACACGAATAGGGCTTCTCTCCAGTATGAGTGTGCATATGCCTCAGTAGATGAGTGTAATTAGTTGTAGTGTAGACACAGTAGTTACAGTGATGCGTCTTGATGGTGGAGGCGAGGTTCTTCCTAGCTCCTGCAGCTCCTCTTCCACCCGTCCTCACACAGTCACTGTTCAGCCCCACCTGTTGGTTATGTCCAGCTTACTCATGGTCATCAAATCTTCTTGACCCAAATATTAATACCAAAATACTATAAGTACTTTCAGATTTAAAAACAAAACTTCGCAATCACTGGCTGGTTAAAAAAGTGTTTCATGGAAACTAGTAATTATCATAATCAGTACAAAATTATATTTTAGGAAATGCATATAATGGCAATATCTATATACAGCACCATAAATTGCAATAATTGGGAAAAGGAGAGTGAAAGGAGAGAAGTATTATCTATACACAATATTTATATACGAGTGTGTTTATAAGGTATATCCCAGCCTCAAATCTACTCTCAGTACTACTGAAAATCTTAATTCCATCAAGCTTAATTTTAATTATTAGCATTAAAAGATGTAAACAAATTAAAACTCATTATATGAAGATATACGGTTATGATGAGCCCGGGGGAGTATCCAGGATACATGAAGGGACTAAACAAATTCCAAAATGTATTGAATTAAAAGTAACCTAGCATTTACGAGTATATTGAAAAGGATCTATTATAAAGCTGATATATACTACAGTATATGTAAACGAGTGATGGTGGCTAACCATGATAACAGCACAATGTTTCACAAATGCAATATTTTAGTTGCAATACAGTATTGGACTACATAAAACGAGTGTAAAACATTTTCACAACATCCATCAATTAAAAACTTCCATCCTGATATTTTTATTAATAATTAAAAGCCTAATTATCTTTTGCAAAGCTTCAACACCACCACCACATTGATAAGGCATGTTAACCTTAGCCTCAAACTTTAACAAACTTCCTCAAGTCATAAAGCAGCTTTTCATAATGCATTTATTGTCCAAAGAAATCTATCAATGCCTAAGAAGTCACCCACACAACTCCACAAAAAGAGTGTCTTCAAAGAACATCTACCCATCTCAAACCAATCCACAAGATCCATTTGTCAAATCCTTCAAAAAGTTGACTAATGGATGACCAAACAGAACCTGAAGTACTTGTAAGAATTCCACATATAATTCAACTAAAAAATTCACAGGATAAAACTGTCAATAATTTTTTTCATCTAGTAAAGACACTGTTGCTGAGAAAACCTTCTGATCAACTACGGGACATTCCATACAAAATTGCACAGTGCCCAACTAAAACTGGTTCAGATGTTCAATGCTAAAGTTGATACAAATAGACAAGTTCACTGTTAACGCTTACTTTTGCTTTTAATATGAAAAAGCTGATCTGTGTGTGGTGGCAAGAAAATAGAGAAGACCGAGTAAAACAGAAGTGGGGTAGGGACAACATAATAAAGAAAGAGAAGAGCAGAAAGGTGAAAAGATGGAGTGGATGGATGGAAAATAGAGACAACAAATAACGGTATGAAAGAAATGGAGGTGGAAGTGGTAAAAACTGCATGGTAGAAAAAAAAAGAAGGGGATAAGAGTAAGATGGAGAAGAAAGGGTGGAGAGGTGGGAGAGAGAATTAAGAAAAAGTGGGGGGAGAAGGAAGAAAAGGAGGGGAGAGAAGATAGAAGAGCTGAGGGTAGAGGAGGAAGACAATTGGAGAGAAGGAAGAGAAAGAGTAAGAGAGAGAGGGAGGGGAAGGACTGAGGAGAGGGGCAAATAAGTGAGAGTAGAAAAGAGGGATGGGAGCAAAGGGAGGTAAAAAGAAAAGGGATGGGATTATTAAGAAGGTGCCAAGGATAAGGGATAAAGAATGGGACTAGAATGAATGATAAAGAGGGGAGAACGGTAGAACATTTTGCTGTACGTGACCATAATAACATTTTAAGTAAAAAAACAAAGTTGAAATAAATGCAAAGTCCAAAACGGGCGAGCCAAAAAACATGTTTATTTCTTCGTTGCATAAAACATTCTTTGTTCCAGCTATTATCACCTTACATAATAAATGTAATTATGCCTCCTCCGACCAGGCCTCCTTTTTTGTTACACACCCCCCGGGAAGCAGCCCGTAGCAGCTGTCTAACTCCCAGGTACCTATTTACTCCTAGGTAACATTGGCATCAGGGTGAAATAAATTCCGTGCTAATAATCTTATTTCCTTTGTGCCGGAGCCCAGGATATATCGCCCATTATATTATTATAGGACAGGCAATACTGTAGCATACATACATGTAAATCTTAAATGCATGTAACTGGTATGAACAGCAATTATATATGTTCAAGTTATTACTAGATGGAGCGTAAATGTAACCAGCACTGTACAGTATACATTGTAAAACAAGTTTCATGATATGAAACAATTATTCTTTAAGCCAACTGACAAAGCTAAAGATTAATTATATTGTTCAAGTTTAAATGTAAATACAATACATTTGAACAATAAAGAACAAAATTTGAATTATAATATTTATAAGACAAATCATTATGTAACCATAAATTGTGCGCTAATCTATTCAGCATCAAATACAAAACGGATACTAACATTAATCTTACATACATGATGTAAATAACCCTGTAAATGTTTCCCAATCAAGAACTAAGAATGGTCAAATAAAAAACTTTAGCAAATAAAACACAGTACTGTACAGTATTTACTTGTCACTCAATTATGTTACAATGAATTCACTACCAACTTATCATATCTATAACTAAATTACATTTTACTTATTAAATAAAAAAAATGACTAATAGAAAGATTACGTTTCAAGTGTATATTTTATTTACAATGATTAATGAGTACATCAACATAGGCAGTTTAATGTTAACAAACTTATTGAACTATTTCAAACAAACAGATTTATTGCATCCTGCATCAGATTAATTACCATAGCTTTAAACAATCAAAATGGTGCATGATTTCCTTGTAATAGCAAAACAAAAAAGTTACTGTAAGCTAATTCCTCAAAAGTTAAAAAGTGGCTTAATATAACATTTATTAGATACCATTTTAGGAAAAAAAATGAAGGGGGGGGATGTCAACAAGAGATTTAGATAAATAAAGTAAATTCTCCTTCATATAATAAAGGAGAGGGGGTGGGTTTAAAAACTAATAGATCTGCATTTAAATGCAAACTCTCCTTAGTTCAAATATTCAGCTTAAACTTGCACCCCTTAAAGTGTGTTCTCAGACACTTGTATGCCTTTATGGTAAGCAAATGTGGGCACCGAATATTACATGTGAGTACGAATATGTCGCTTCAGGTGGTTCTTATAAACTGTCCTATATTCACAATGTTCACAGGAAAATGGCTTACTTCCTGTGTGAACAATAATATGAGTCTGCAATGTACATTTCTGACTAAACCTCTGTGAGCATAATGTGCAACCATACGGCTTCTCTCCCGTATGTGTACGTAAATGCCTCTTTAGGCCTGTACTGTAAGTAGTGGAGTATTTACAGTAGGGACACTGATGAAGTTTTCTTCTTGGAATGTGGTTCACCCAGACACTGGCAGCCTCTCCTTCAAGAGTCCTCAAACAACCAAGGTCATGCCCCACCTGTAGGGACACACCCAGCTTATGAAAGCAAAGGATATAGCAAGCAATCTGATTCTACTGCCAAAATAGAAGCTGCCTACCACCTCTGCCAACACCCTTATATTTTTAAATTAAAATCTTAGTGAAAGCCCTAAAAAAGAAAAGAAAATGCACAGAAAATGGCATGGAAACTTAAACATTAATTATCATTTAGAATTACATGCCATACTTATATCAAAATACAATAACATTTATAATTAAAATTAAAAAATGCTCCCCCCCCCACTTCCTCTCTGTACAGTTAACTTTAAGCTACGCATATTTCCATCGCAAGTGGATGACTGAGAAGGGTCTCATTGGGCTAAGCATATCTTATAAGCACAGGATAAAGTATCGAGTATAGGGGTAAAAGTAGATTTGTGTTTCAATCACAGCTATTTAAATCAGGCAACCCAAGTCTCTCTGCGATGCATATCTTACAATGTAAACAGCGATGCAATTGTTTACAATGTAAACAATATCATATAACAACTGAGCTGGGCTGAGCTTGGGGAGTAGAACAACTCCCAGAACCCCATCCAGATACAATCCAGGTACAATTATTCATGTCAAGCCATTTAACGTATAATTAAACATATAGTCATGCAGTGTGTGTTGAGGAAGATGTCAATTAGATGGGCGTATGGTTGGCAGGGGTATGGGTGAGGTCGAGTTATGAGAAAGGGGAGTTTATGGATTCCAATAACAGTAGTGGTAAGGATTGAGTAAGTAGTGTATGGGTGGTTGCACAGTAGCTGGTAGTTGAGGAAATAAGTATCTGATGGGTGGGTATTGGCATATGGTGCGTAGGTATTGGTATATGGTAGGTGGACAAAAGTATAGGTTGAGGTTTGAGTGTGGGCCTTCAAGTTGAAGGGTTTATATGGCAGGTGGGGGTACATACCTATCAATCACCACACCAGGTGAGGCCTAGCTCTTTACATCCCACCTACCCATTGTACCTAATGCACTATAATTGAACTATTATGATATATGCTTGATGAGGTTTTGGGAGTTCTACTTCCCAAGCACAGCCTGAGGCCAGGTTTGACTTGTGAGAGTTAGGTTCACTCCTATTTATCATTTCACTGGGTAGAGCTACTCTGCAAGGCTGTGTCTAGCACTTGTCAACACCTGGTGCTCGACCTTACTGATGCTACTGATTTATTCTGTTTCACTGAGTGTTCTATCACTTCTTTGTTTGTTTTTATTTACATACACCGTGCTTTTATACCCATATATGCATGATACATGTAAAACCCAGACAATAATTATTTAAATAATCATATTATGATGACCGCATTCCCCTATTAACATTCGTGATGATAACCGCAGTTATACCATGAAATGGTCGCAGGATCTTTTCATGGGTCAAGATAAACTCCATTGCATCCACATAGACTATTATATCCATATATGCATCATACATGTAAAACCCAGACAATTTTTTTTTTTAAATCTTCATATAACTGCATTACTCTGTGAAGCAACAATTGACGAGAACCACTTACTATGGGTTAAATGAAGTTTTAATGTTTGCCAGTGTCACATATGTTGATGGTTACCCTGTTTATATGCATTTCAGGAGATAGAGTTGGAATTGTACAGTATTCCTAAATCCTTTAATCTCTCTTATAATTGTCTTCCCCTTACAATGTAGATACCTTCTGGTCTCCTTTTTCCCTTATTTTTCTCATTTCTCTTCATTACTTAACACTTGTTTCAATTGAATTCTAGCAACCATTTGTTTACCCAATACTGGAGTGTATCATGGTCATCCTGTAACCTGAAACTTTCTGCAGTCCTCCTCAGTTTCTACAGTCCCCCATTACCAGTCACATCATCTGCAGACATTACCATGTATGAGCTCATTCTCTGAAATAGGTCTCACATAAATTTGGAACAGTAGAGGTCCATGACCAACCCTTGTGGAGTTCCACTTGTTACCTTCCTCCAACTGAAATCATCATCTCTGGTTGAGAGTCTTTGCTTTCTTTCTGTCCTTAAGGTATCTACAGTATCACCTTCCATTTCCTTCACCAGATTTCCTGTTCTTCACTATTCTACTCGCTCATCACCACCTTCCCAACCCTTCACCACTTTCCTGACCCTTCACCAACTTCGAGACCATTTACCAACTTTCTGACCTTTCACCAACTTCCCGACCCTTCACCATCTTCCCTACCTTTCACCACCTTCTCTATCTTTCACCAGCTTCCCTTAATCCCCTGTAAGCATCTTCACGAAATACGTTCTGTACATCAATAAACTGCATACGAGAAACTAAAACTTTATTTAATATGCAAGATGAATATTAGTGCGGATGGAGTTTCTTTTTTATTTAGCAACATTAGAAATTAAGAGTAATTTGCAATTTTATGCCAAGGAGGAGGAGTGGGGGGGGGGGAGGGATTAAGTGGCATGCGGTTCAACCCCGACCCAAGAAAGGCCATCCCCAGATAAATACTCATTGTATATCTATCAACGATTCCAAGGATCAACATCTCCACGGCAATGTCTCTGAGCAGACCTTCTGGTTGGTTGATCTGGTCAACCAGGCTGCTTGATGTGGCTGCTTGCAGCCTTTAGTGAGAGTCACAGCCTGGCTGATCAAAGACCAGTCATCCTGCGGTGATCAAAGACCAGTCATCCTGCAAAGTTTGGTCTTATGTCAAGTCTTTATGAATTTTGTTTGTTGATGATGAAAGCAGTTTGTAGTGAAAATTGGGATGCTTCTGTTACAGTGTTGAAGATTGTATGTGTGTAGTGATGATGGTTGGTTGCATGTAATGATGCAACCCATCCTGCATTTTCATATCAAAGTCACCAATGGACAAATAATGGGGTACTCTAAATTATTGCTTACAAACATTCAAGTTTTTTTATGCGAGGGACAATAGGTTAGATTTGAGTGTTTTAGTACACCGTTTTCTGTTTGTTGTAACAACTGAAGAGGATAGGCTGAGTGGAGATAGTTAAAAGTAATTAAACCCATGACAACAGAAAATGCTAGCTTCACCTAATCTAAATTAGTATATACTCTCTGAAGTGTAACAAAGAAACAATTATAATGTTTGCTGTGCAAAAAGTAAGAATTTTAAACATACAAAGCTTTCAACATTGTAACATAATTAGTTATTAACCGTATTTTTTTGCTTTGGCTAAACACTTGTGCATCTCTAACATTTACCAAACCTTTATGATGTGCAGTTGGTTATTAATCTCTAACAGTGGGTAACTTTCCATTAGCTTCAAACTAACACAATCATTTTAACAAGTTAATTCAAAACCAAAATGTCACGACTTATTAATTAGCTTTAATGGTTTACTTAAAAGTATACTTATTGTTCAAACAATAAAAATGTTTTTTTAAGCACACAAAGACTAAAAAAAATTTTATTTGAAAATGGCTTTTCTATGTCAATATGTGTGTGTAAACTCTGCAAGTGGAGCTCAAAAAATACAAGAGAATGCTACCTGTATATATAACTAGAGCCAAAACACTAGCTGGAATACAATGAAAATACAGTGTTATAATAATAACCAAACTTAAAAAAAGTCCATTATCTGAGTGCAGAATGAGTGTTAGACCCAGCATGAATGCGAATGTGACGCTTCAGATGGTACTGAGTGATTGTGCTGTATTGACAATGGGGACAAGAATACGGTTTGTCTCCCGTGTGTGTAAGTATATGCCTCTGAAGACAAGTTGTGTACATTGTGGCATAACTGCAGAAGGAACACTTGTGCAACTTCCTTCTTGGGTTGCTGCCCGTCCCTGTCCAGATTCTTGGTGCCTGCCCTCCAGCCGTCCTCACACCATGAACGTCAAGCCCCACCTGTAGGGGACGCCCATCTTGTATAAGCACCAGAGATAGTCCCAACAATACAGTACTGTACTAAACGAAGTGCATAATACAAGCAGATAATATTAAAATATAAAAAATATGCTGCAACAGATACCTTTACCATATTATTTGACCATCTTTCCCCCTCAATTCATTGCAATGCATGAAGTTAAAAATATATCAAATCTCGAGATTGATTTTTCCAGACAATTTCTTCTAATTAATCTCCTTATATTAGACACCCTACATTTTCTCTCTAGTGCTTTAAATATACTACAAACTATTTGAAGAGGCTTAGACTAGAATAAATCTCTGTTGCTGCTGCTGACTTCATTTGCAGACCATCAATGGGTACCTCTATCTTATGGTCCTGTGCACTTGTGATCCTCCTATTATAATCTCTTAAGTCTTTTCCTCTGGCGCCAACCTTTGCCACTAGTGGTCCTTCTCATACCACTGAATTCTCTCTGTATGTCTGTGTGTGTGTGTAATTACCTAAGTGTAGTTACATGACGAGAGCTACACTCTAGGTGTTATGTATTCCGAGTAATACTAAAACTTTATTTTTTATTATAAATCTCAATTACTAGAGAGCAGACAGGTCTTATAGAATAACATGTCATATAACGCTTTAAAAGTAGTGAGAGTTTGACCTTTACCACCTTCTCACATAACTTGTTCCAACAGTCTACCACCGTTTGCAAAAGAAAACTTGTTAATATTTTTCTGTCACCTTTGTCTTCTTGGCTTATAAATCTGTGACCTTACACACAGAAATCACAATAACGTGATGCATCAAAAACTTTGATGCATCACGTGGATTTGTTCATTAATCTGTGACCTCTTATTCTTAAGGTTGCCAGTTTCAGGAATTCCGCTTTATTAATGAATTTGGTCGATTCCTTTCATTATTTTGTAAGTGGTGATCATATCACCATTTTTTCTTCTATCTTCTAGCTTTGGTATATTTAATGCCTCTAGCCTATGATAGCCTTCCAAAGGCACTTATGAGTGCCTATGAAAATCAATAATTTGTTAACCTTCAGCAAATACCTTACAAAGATTATTCATACTTCTAAAGTTTTTATTTATACTAAAAGCATTTATTTCAAAAGTATTACAGAATACAGTGAATTAATGCATCAAATTTACAAAATTAAAAATAAATTTATCTGTGAATATTTTGGATTTGCCAAGGGGCAAAATAAACTTTTGTAAGTATTGAATCATTATAACTAACCATATATGGTACAGTACATGTGGAGAAAAAAAAAGGGCTACATTTCACACTACAAATATAATACTGCAAATACTCTGTATGCCATCTCAAGGAATTAGCCAAAGCAAGACCAGATGCCTTCATGGGAGGCAAACGTCAAGGAAGGAATTCTAAATCCCGACAACAAAAATCATATACATGCAGTAGTACTGTAAGAGCTCAGTAATCCGAATTCCAGAAATCCAAATCTTTGGGTAAATCGAATAAATTAGAGTTAAGAGTTTCTGACTGCTCAACACAATCAAAATTCGGATTACTGAGACTTCTGCTGAATGAAAACTTAAATAAATTAAAGTTCGAGATTTTGACTGCCAGCCCTAATACAAATTCAGATAACCGAGATTTATGGATAACAAAATCCAATTCAACTTTCCTTTTTTTAACTTTCCAGGTAAAGAATTTGGCTAATTTGAATGTTCGTCTAACTCAAATGGGAGTTGCCATATATAATTCAGATTACCCGGAGTAGACAGTACAGGTGAACTTCTAACATCGCTGCAGCTAATGTCTTTTTGTGTTTACATATCAATTAAAGATAATATATAAATAAAATGGGGTTAGAAAACCTATGATACTGAAAATGAAGTACAGTACTGTATACGAGGGCTAACTTAAATACTGTATTGTCTATGAACACTGTATTTATACTGAAACCTAATTTTTTGTTCAGCTTCAATTAATGTTATTTCAGGTTCACCTGTACTTACAAAGTTACACAGCTTTTATAAAAAAATAATGATTTTGCATTAAGTTACAGTACAGTACTTGGAATATAAAACTAATAAATATTTTAAGATAAATTCTTGAACATTCTTCTGAATAATTTGCTAGGTGATGCCAGGCAGTAACTCGCAATGATGCCAGGCGGTGTGTTCATCCCGTAGAAATTGGTTTAAGAAGTTCTTTGTCACAACTTTAATTTCACGGCATACACATTTAAAACGAGTTAAAAAACTAAACCAACGGCGGAAGGAGGTTTTTGGATACACCCTTGGCAGTTAACGTGCACTCTCCTTTTATTAACTTGAAAGTTATTTCTCATTTAAATGGCAATTCAAATAGAACAATTGCCAACATACCTGCATTATCAAACTGTGCTAACTCCACAACACATTTTATATATAAACATAAGCTGCCTTATCAGACGTGGCACAAGAGTTAATTTTGCCAACCTGTCTAATCTAACACCATCTGTATATACCAATAGAATTCCCTCATGAAGCCATTAATGCAAGTTTGAGCCATGTTTCTTATACTTGTTACTAGAAAATTTAGGAGTTGTGGACACCTGCTATCAATGTTGTATTCTCTTAACTGTTTATGATAAACACCAAACCATGTGAGTTTATGATAAACACCAAACCATGTGAGTTTATGATTAACCACCAAACTCTTATACAGTATTACAAAACGTCAATTACTTTTATCTGCCAATTAGAGTACAGTATATAGCCAGTTTTAAGAAACCCCAAACATTTACACTTTCAACAGTCACTGTTATAAGATATTTATATATTTTCTAGTTCCTATGTTGCCTGTCTAAAAGAATTAGCACAAACCAACATTCAACATTAAAGGGTGCAAATCGCGTCAACCGGGTCACTAGGGTAAACAATATTAAAAATTTTATGTAATTAATAAATTTCACCAGTTAACTGAAGTCAAGGTCATATATTCAGCATCCAATCTGATTCATGCTTATTATAAGGATGAAGAGAAAAACCAAGATAGGAGCAGACCATTTGTAAATAAAATTCTGCTTGAAAAAAGACTACTGCATCTACAAATCATCTATATACTCCCATCCTGGTGTTTCTCTACATTTTTGACAGAACTCTGTGCTACATTGAACTTACAAGGATAAGAGAGGCTGATAATGTTGATTGGTTGAATACAGCCCAAAATGTTGATAATGGAGATGCCAAGCAAGGTGCAGACTTTACTGGGAGATAAATAAAATATACTTCATACTGTGCTTTGCGTTTTTTATGCATTACTGTTGTTTTCATATTGATTGTTATCTAGTTAACAACCTTATACTTTGATATTACATATTTATTATTCTCCTCTATACTGTTACTCTTTTTACCCTCAAAGGCATAGATTCCTAGTTCAAACTGTCTATAGCTTTTACCGCACTGTTTGGCTGTTTACCGCACTGGTAAAATTGTTTACAGTGGCTACACATTTTTTATATATCACTCGAGGTCCCAATGACTCTTACCAATCGTTTCTAAAACTGCTCTTCAGCCTGTCACTAATGGCATAATAACAGGGATGTTCCTTGAACTATCATACCTATGTCTTGAAAGTTACAAGCCAATACGTAAAGGCATTCATCCAAATATACATGATCATTGCAACTTTGGAACAAAGAAACAAAATTAATTCAGGGATACCTACTAAAAGTATCTAATTAAATGAACTGTTATTAAACTGAAGAGAAGCAACTGTAACTTCCTTAGATGAAAATGGCAATGATAATTTGCTATACAGATAGATGATAACTAGTACCATTTAATCATAAACTAAAAGTATAATTTTAAACTATAAAATGTCAACAAGTTTTCATCACAGTACTGAAACTTGACTAGCCCAACACTATACAGGTACAGAAAAAAAGTGGGTTATGAAAATGGAATTTTCCGCATGTGAGTATTTATATGAGTGCGCAGATTGCCTTTCTGAGTGAATCGAAGAGAACAATGAGGACAGGGAAATGGCTTCTCTTTTGTGTGAACACGGATGTGACTGGTCATGTGTGTTTTCTTCTTAGTGGAGTAGACACAGTAGGGGCAATGATGCATCTTGACAGTGGCGGTGAAGCCCTCCCTTGCTCCTGCTACTCTTCTACTGCCAGAGAACACCTGTAGGGGACGACGCCCATCTTAGTAGAGCTATAATGGCGTTTCGTAGATGTATTCAAAGCTTCTTAAGTGGCTCAGTAACTAATTGTAGCTATAACAGCAAGGATCATGATACCCAGGTTCCCCTCTGAAGTAGAAGTTCTTTTGATTGAATCAAACATCATGCTCCACAAAAATAGCATTTCAAACAGAACATCAAGACTGTTGCTGACAATTCTATGAGTCAATTAGCAACACACACACACACAAGGATTTGCTAAGAAAGCCATTATACAAGCAATTCCAAAAAAATTGGCATTTCATAAATTGAGAACTAATTAATAAAAATAAAAGTAAAATTCTCAAGATGCTAAAAGTTAAGCTATCCATTCCAACCAATAATTTAGAAAATATTGTATTTATATTTGTTCTTGAAAACATAACAGAACAATGCAATGGATTTAAAGTGAACACAGTACAAATATTTTTGGCACAAATAACTTGTACAGTACTTATGTTTAATATACCACTTATTACACACACAGATCACACTAACGTGATGCATCAAATGAACAAATCCAGTGTAATGATGTAAGGACGAAGAGGGAGAACGGCCTATTGACACAGGGGGGAGTTGTGTAAAACCCTGGTTTGTGCCTCGGAGAGGCTGCAGGGTCCAGTAAGTTCAGTAGAACTTCGGTTTCAACTCTTTTAACCCTGTCGTAACTCAGTCGATTAAGGTAGTGTCTGGGATGCTCCCGGACGCAGGTTCGAATCCTCGTCACAGCCCTTGTGGATTTGTTCATACCACTATGTCTCAAATCTTTATCAGAAGATAAAAAAGTAAAGTTTAAAACAGTCTTCAA